TGTTTGTGTGTCTACCCATCTAACACTATAGATCTGAGGCAGCAGAGTTTCTACCCTGTGGACCTGTAGTGAGTGTCCTGAAGGTTTCTAATACCTCACACAAATAATTACAACAACCAATACAAACAATATAAAGCATTAAACCAAATAGTTCCTGCTATTATGTCTACAATGTTAATTGTCACAATAAACCGGAATGATATGAGCAGTTATTGCCTACAATAATAACAATAAGTTTGCAAAATGGTTTACAATGTTGAATGATGGACAGGGAAAGAAAAGAAGTGCTATAGGATGTGATGATTTTGAGGAGAAGGAGGGGAGATTAGAAGTAAAAAAAATTAAAGGAAGAGTGAGAGAACAATAGAGATTGTCTGTTAGCTGAGGAAAAGAGAGAATCAAGAGAAACAGATAAGTGACAGAAAAAAGCTATATATAAAATAAGAATTTTAAAAAATTTTTAAAAATAAGGGCTGGGGCTGTAACTCAGTGGCAGAGCACTTTGCCTAGCATGTGTGAAGCATTGGGTTAGATACCACATAAAAATAAACAAAGGCATTCTTCCCAACTATAAAAAAATTTTAATAAATTAAAACAAATAAAAGAATACAAAACAAAATGGAAATACAGTAATCAAACATCCCTATAGTCCTCAAAAGAGTGATTCATGAAAAATAACTGGCTTCAAAAATACTAGATATAAGAAAGATTAATATGAATCTGTATAAATGTTCATGAATCATTAAGGTCACAGGAAAAGAAAACAGGAAAAAAAGATTTCAATGAAAAGTTAAAAAAAATGTTTTTGGTGGAGTTCAAAAGATTCTCAGCTTTCCTTCTCAGCAGTGTTAGGTGGGGTTGTATGGAGTGTGATGCTTACTCCATCCTCAGGGTGGGGTTGCTGGGGTGAGGAAGGTAATTCCATAGATGGAACTCCTGGAGGTGGAGTCTAACCAAGGCATCTTCACTGAATACCAACTGGTCTGGAGATCTCAAATCAGTGCACCTCCAGGGCCCAGCAATTGCTGGTCCAAACCTCCTGATTCTCAGATCTGCTTTGACTGTCCAGTATTAAATTCCCCCACCCTGCTTTTTTGTTCACCCACCTTGCTGAGAAGATGCCTGTATGCTTTCTTGGTTTTACATCACAGAAATCCAGGAAAGTGAACTTCTCTATTCCACCATCTTGAAAACCTCCACTTCCCTGCTGCTTGATGCCCTTAAAATAATATTCAAGTTGCTTCGCCGTCCATGGTTCCAAAACCCTGCATATTTTGTCTCTTCCTAGTTCTATAGCCTTCTCTCCCCCTCTTGCCACTGGATACCAGATACATTGGTATTCTTCAAATAAACCAAAATCTTTCCTGAGTCTTCTAGACACATTCTGTATCTCAAATGTTCTTTCTTCTTCATGTCTATCTCATCTCATCCTTCATATCTTAGTGAGACTTACCTTATACTGCTATTTATATAGTCCTCAAATCATAATTATTCAGTATCACTTCCCTCTCAAGATCTGTCACTGTATTATCATAATTTGTAACAATATATACAGGTTTTGGAGTCCCTGTACAGATTTTCCTGCACTACTTCTAAAGATAGTGTATCTCTATTTCTGCTTGGATTTTTTGCCTTTCCTTGGGGCATGGGGAGAAGCTGTTAATCTTTGCTTGGGCAGTTAGGATAAGGAGGTTCGCCAGTGACTGGTGGCTTCAGCTTTGCATAAGAGAGAGGTCAGAGGAAATGGGCACTATTTCATACCTGTCACCCAGATATTTGATCAATCTCCTGCTCCTTGCCTGCATCACCAAAAGGTCCATTCCCATTGGTCTTCTGCCTCAATATTTCTCATTAGCATCCATGCAGGTTTATAGAAAGTAGGTCCTCAGTGAACATGAGCTACTCTCATGAAAGGGTGCCTCACATATTCTCAACTAACATCTTTTACACAATTTTTTAGAAAATTCTTTAATACTTCAGTAATTTCTCTCAGAAGACAGTTCTCCGTGGGTCTTTCATGGGTCTGCACTATGTGCAAGTGGAGGCTCTGCCTGCCTTTGTTCTGAACTAACTTCAGGGATATCTGTATTGAATAGACTGGGAAGATAAAGACAGCATCTCCCTCTATGAGACAGTGATTAGTGCCCAGCATAATAATGCTATTTCTCTCCAGAGCAAAGGGTGGGCATGCTAAACACCCACTATTAAATATTTAGGCTCCGTAAGCTTAGGGCATCTTCCTTGCAATGCAACCCACCATGTATTCAGGTGTCACTGGTTATCTTTTCATCACACTGTGAAATTGGGGTCAGGAAGCCAACACAAATGCTGACATTATGATTAATGTTGTTGGTGAGAATAATTAAAATCCTTTGTCTCTGATTCATCAATCTCTGTCAAAATTACCAGCAAGTAGGAAAAATATCTTAGATTCTCCTAAGTCTTTTAGAATTTCTTACTTGCTTCAGTGGCAGAACCCTATTCTCTCCAAAGACAAGAGTTCATGCATCCTGTTGCTCTTTGAAGGGGCTTGTCACTCATTGAACTATTTTCTCTGATGTGTTAAGAAAATTTTTGAATTTTTTCTCTCTGTTAGGATGACAATAACATTCTCTTGCAGCTTACTAAACCTTAGGTGGAAACACAAGTTTCAAGCTGTGCCTATTTGATTACTTCTTATTACTAAAGACAGACGCTGCTCTGTAAACTAATGTTGTTCAGCTTACACATTTAGTTTTTAACAGAAGCATAGGTTTGAGTGATGAACGCCAAGAATTCTGAAAAACAGCCCTTGTGATATATCATCACAAGGGCCAAAGGCAGTGGACGAAAAATGTTAACCTTGTAGCACAGGTGAGGCAGGACAGAGTGAAAGAATCTGACCCCTGAGAGATGAATATCATGAAGAATATTCATAAGCACTGGCCCAAGCTCTATTAGAGGACTAGGGGAACACAAAGGGAAACTGAAACCACTTGAGGGTTTCCAGAGACCTCAAAAATTGGTGAAAAGTATGGCAAAAAGACCCCCAAAAAATACAAAGGTCAGAAGCACGGTCGTGTCTTGAGAGGGTGTTTTCCCCTCTTTACACTTATTCCCCATTTTCTGGTGAACAGAACTGAGAATTCTTTGGTGAGATTTTCCTCTTTTGCATTGGGGGTCTTATAAGGGCTGCTGATACAAGAGTCTTGTCTTTCTCTAATTGAGGGACTGGATTCACTGACCAGTCCTGAGTCACAGAAGATACCAGATGGAGCTGATTCAGAAGATACCAAGTGAGCTCTTAGTCCTGACCCATACCAGCCTTGATTCCTGTCTTTTCAAAGACTGGTTTGATTTTTCTTCTAATTCTGTATATTAGTCACATTCCCATTTTGCTTAAGTTAGCCAAAGTTGAATTTCTATTGCTTGGAACCAAAGACATGCAACTGATACAAACTAGGTGGCCCAATAAAGGGCATATGGAGGTCAAAGAAAGCTTTGAAAGGTGGTCTGAAATCCAGATACTTTATTTAAAATTGTAAAATAAACATATATATTAATGGGTATCCAAATCACTGGTTATGATACAATGATAAATCAATTTCATGTTTCTATGTGCTTGTAGATAATTAGCATTTTTAAATGAAGAATGATGTTTAATTACTAAAAGCAATATTGGAGTTCACTCTTGGCATCTCCCACATTAGAAAAGTATATAAGAATGAAACCAAACTAGTAAGGCACCCCATGCTATAGGAATTAAACTAAGGGATTGCTGAAAATGGCCAATAGTACAGTGAAAGATACAGATTTATTAAAATTTAACTGTAAAATTCCAATTATTCAGTTGTTCTGAGTATGCCACACATGGAGAAAATCTTTAAAATGAGATACTCTAAATACAGTAGATCACCAGGTTGGAGGTTTTCAACCAATGTCTTGCAAAATGGAGAGCAGTGAGACAGTTGCTGCAAACAATCAGCCCAACAGTAAGTGATGTGAAAGGAAAAAATAATTTTTTGGCCAATCCTGCCCTCTCATTATAAAGACAAGGCTCTATGGCCCAGGGAGATCAACTGATTTGTCCAAGGATAGTAGATTTCAGACATGGCTCAGATAGGGAGCTTCTCTTTTTGTGAGGAAATAGCAATATGTTGAATTCCAGAAAAATTATATCTGTAGCTTATAGTGCTAAATTTCAGACCCCCTCACACACACACACACACACAAAATTTTGAGTCTTTTGTGAATTTACCTTATTACTTTTTGAAAAAATAAAAATAAATTTATAAGGATGTATCTAGATAACAATTAAGACCACCTAATACTTATCTTTAATATCCACATTTTTAAAACATAATTGAGAGGATTCAGAAAATGTGGAAGTCCTTCTGCCATAGGTTAGTTAGTTATTCATCCCTGATACTACTGACATTTGGGGCAGGATAATTGTTTGAGGGGGGTGCTGCCCAATGTAGGATATTAAACAGCATACCTGATCTCTACCCACTACATGCCAGTACCATCCCTAAGTATGACTTCAAAATTGTCTCTAGCCATTGCGAAATGTACCCTGGGGTGGGAGAGTATCCTGGTTGAGAAACACTGATTTTAACATCATGATATATCACTCCACTGAGGAGTAAACTGTGATTAAACTAGTGTTGCATTTTATTGCATTTTAATTTTAATCCCAAAATATACCATGGGTAAAACTAAGTTAAATTGCTTATACTAGTTTTTTGTCTAATACTGAGCTGTTCAATATAATAGTCACACACCACATGTGGCTAATGAGCACCTGAAACACAGGCTACAGTGAAATAGCAGTTAAGTGTAAAATACACGCTGCATTCTGAAAACTTGGTTAAAAAAGGAAAAAAAAGTAAATCTATCAATGATTTTTATATTAATTGAGCTATTTTAGGTATTTTTACTGGGTGAAAGACATTTTTAAAACAATTTTACTTTTTAAAAAGTATAACTACTAGTGCTCAGTGGCAGAGCACTTACCTTGCACATGTGAGGATTGGGTTTGATCCTCAGCACCACATAAAAATAAATAAACAAAATAAAGATATTGTGTCCATATTCAACTAAAAAATAATATATACATATATAAAATGTAGCTACTAGAAAATTTTACGTGTGGCTTGCATTAAAATTCTACTAGATGGCACTGGTCTATTTGACATGATTTAGTATCATTCCTTAATTAAATAAATTCTCAAGTCTCTCAAAGAAGCTGAAAAGACTTTGGAAATGACAGCCCTATCAAATTAGCTTACTTTTGAGCATCATAACTCTTTATCATGCTTAAAGGATTTCTCTGTTTCTTTAAACCAGTTACTTTTATTCCAGTGCTTTATTCTCAGTGTTTCAATGGGCTCTTTTCTGATGGACGACTTGTCTTCATACTGTTCCTTGTCATTCTCTGGCACATCTGTTTCTTTCGTATACTCAGGCTCTTTCCTAGTGGGATGTGGAGCTGTTGCAGCATCCATCATACTTAGAAAATCATAAGCTGGAAGAGGAGGTTTCCATTCCTGAGCAGATAAAATTGCTGGAAGGAAGACATAACCAAGGGTTAATGACTAACTATAAAATCATCTATAAAATCATCATATGAATATACTAGAAAATGTTTCATTTTGAAAAAATATATTTGTAGGCATGAAGGCTTTATTAGTTTTACTTAGCTTGATGTTTCTAATACCATTGTGATTAGAAAATTTGATATATTTATCACTAGTTACTGTCTTATTTTACATTACATTTATAAGCCATTATTTTCTATATAGAGATAAACGTTAATGGGGAAAAAAGGTTCATAATCTTACTGCCAATTAATCCTTGTTGGGGTTTCAAAAATAGCAATATATGTAATAAGATAATATTATGTACACACAGATTCAAACTACAATGAAGTCTCCTACTTCCCTCCTTACTCCAATCTCAATCTCCAAATATGTTAACTATTTCTCATAAGTCATTCCAGAAAAACATTTTGGAACATATATATTTAGATATTATTATTGTATTGATATAAGTGTTGCCTTATATCTTAAAGGATATTCTGTTCTTACAGGCTTTGATTAATATCCTATCCATACACTTCATGAAAACTGTATTTTCAAAAATTATTATAGATAGGAATAATTTAAAATTGCTATGGAGTTGACTATACTATGTGTAGACAATTATTGGATGATTTCTTTCAGATGAGCTTCATGGAAGTGAATCTTAACATTATTTTAAAATATTGATCATTAGAAAAGGAAAACTACTTAAAGCTGATAACATATGAGAAATTAACTTTTCTCCATTTAACAGACAGATTTTTGTAGGTAATACCTACCTCAGGTTTTTTGTGACAGTTAGATCAAATAATTAATAAAATGCATTTTTGTTAGCTATTATTATAATTATTCAAGTTAAATATAAAATAATGGTATTTACTAGAATATTACTTCATTATGCCAAACTGCTTCTCTCAGATATTTATGTGTTTAGATTTGGTAGAATATCTATGGAGATATTGATGACTACACAGATGACTTTAATTATATGGTTACTTGAAGATTCAATAAAATAAACACAATTATGCATTCAATTCATTTAGGCAATTTGATTAACAGTAGAAGCTATGAAGTTAGCCTGTTTGGTTTGAATCACTACTCTGATAATTATTGGTTCAATTACCATTGACAAGTTACTAACCTCTATTTTCTCAATCTGGAAAAAAAATATATAATGGCAATATCCAGAACCAGAACTCTGGGGTTATAAGGAAACTAAATCAGATAATCACTGAAATGTTCCCATGCCGGGAAAAGTGCACATGCTCAATAAATGCTGACTATGACTTTTATGCCAACAGTAACTTTCTATGAAGTAATTTGCCTATTACAGTGTAAAAGCCATGTACACCATAACCAAAAGGGTAGACCCACCTGATTAACAAAAGCAAGAACAACAAATGTGGACAGAGAAACTGAGAGATAGTTAGTTTAAGACACACCTTCTTAAAATACTTAAAACTAGAGTTTTATATGATAATAAGGCACTATTTTTAAAGTGTCCTTTTTCTATAAAACCACAAATTTTTGCCCATAGTTATAGAAAAAAAACTAGCATTTATATGAAAAAGCTATACTAGAAGTATCTGTGAAATCAACAATTTTAAGCTTCATAAAAGCAGCAAGAAGGACTTAGGCTTGGGTAGGTCAGTGCTTCCATGGTAAGGATTTTTTTTAAGTTGGATAAATTACAAAAATCATTTTTGAAGATATTGGCAATCTATAGGACCAACATGGACTCCAAGAATTAAAATTTCAAGAAAAAAGAGAGATTTAGTAGGTGAGCTGACTGCTTAGTAGGTAAGTCCACTGTCCCCAACTGAGGCTTTTCACCTTAGTCTCATAATCAGACTGTTCTATGGACAATGCTATCAGCATATTAATACTTAGGATACTTATAAACACCATTCAACACATACCATTATTCATTAGCTACAAATGAAATTTAAAAATTAACAGAACAAAATGAAGAATTGAATGTATTAAATGAAATAGAAAAACTTACTGATATGATTTTCTAGTCCTGCTTCTAATTTTTTAAGCCATAACACAAGGTTTTGTTCAGTTATAGACTGATTGGAAGGAAATGCAAATACTTGACCACCTGAATGCAGATTCACCAAAACAAGAAGAGGAAGGGGAGGCAGAGGGCTGAAATATGCCCGCAAGATTCCTCTCCCCACAGGAGTGTTCTTCCTACAAGAGGAATAATTGAAAATATTAATTAATAGTTATATCACAAAAATGAAAATAAATTTATGGAACATTAAACTTTAATTAGTATCATGCCAGTAAATTTATTCTATAAAAAGACATTCTAAAATCTAAGAGGTCTATGACTATGGCATTAGTAATTAGATTTTTTTTAATTTTTTTTTAACACGGTGCTTTCTTTCTCTTATAAGGAAAAAAGGCAGTCAATGACAGTTTTCAAAACAAGCACACATATTGTGAAGGCTTATCAGCTTAGGTTTGATACAGTCAATAGGCTCCTTTGAAAGTTTAGCCAAGTACCTGATCACATGTCAGTTCAACAATTAAAGGGTTATATATGATAGACACTTATGATACACACTTCAAGTAACCCAAGCCATACATCCAGCAAATGTACCAGGAAGTACTGCTGATGGGTGTACTAAAATCTGTCCATAACATTATGGCTGGACTATAACAATACAGAAACACAGAAGACAGAACGATATCACAATGCTTACTTTTTTGTATTTGCCAATTTTTTCCAATGGACAATTACTTTTAAAATCAGAAAAATGATTATGTTAAAAAATTTATTGTGGGCTGGGGATGTGGCTCAAGCGGTAGCGCGCTCGCCTGGCATGCGTGCGGCCCGGGTTCGATCCTCAGCACCACATACCAACAAAGATGTTGTGTCCGTCGAGAACTAAAAAATAAATATTAAAAATTCTCTCTCTCTCTCTCTCTCTCTCTCTCTCTTTAAAAAAAAAAATTATTGTAGTCAAGAGTGGTGGTACATGCCTGTATTCTCAGAGGCTAAGGCAGGGCAATCAAAAGTTTGAGGCTAATTTTAGTAATTTAGCAATACCCTGTCTAAAAATAAAATTTAAAAAGGATTGGGGATGAGGCTCAGTGGTAGAGCACTTCTGGGTTCAGTCTCCAGGAGTATACACACATACACACATACACACACACACACACACACACACACACACACTCCAGAATAAAATTCAATTTGAAACAGGTCAAACTGGACCTTGTCTATGGGAAGTTAACTAAGTTTAGTAACTAAGTTAGTTACTAAAGTACCATGACAAGATATTTAGGCCCATTAATATTAACTCCAAAGGCAAAGTTATAGAGTTTATTTTTGTTATGAAAATATAATAATTATACTTTATCTCTTACATATAAAAAATGAAAATATACTTACAGATTTAACCAGCAAGGAATAAAAGAATCCAAGTGTTTCTGTTTCATTAGTGTCAATATTGCTTTTCTATACTGAGGATTTATACTGCCATCACTGAACAAAATAAGTAATGGTTTCTGAAGTCTTAAATAAGTGGGAAGATTTTCTACAGTTATTTCTGGCTGTTAAAAGAGAAGAACAACAACAACAAAAAAAACCAAAGCATGGGAATGATAATACATAAAATAGAAAATATTCAAATCACTCAATTTTAGTTCATAAAATATAATTCAAACACATTTTCACTTAGAGATTGAACCACATTAATAACTATGACTCTCCAGAGTTTATTCAATCTCAACTCATCTTAATGAGTTATATTCAAAATAAAATTACTTTGAGAATAAGTTAATTTAATACTTTTAATAATTTCATATGCTAAAATCTGGGATTAGATTGGTCAATATACATATAAAAAACCAAACTCTTAGAGGAAAAATATAACACAATTTTTTATTTAAAATATAAGCTGGTAATCATTTGCTCCCATTCTGTAGGCTCTCTATTCACTTCACTGAGTCTTTTGCTGAGAAGCAGCTTTTCCCGTTTGAATCCACCCTATTTATTGATTCTTTTTTGATATTTATTTTTTAATTGTAGTTGGACACAATACCTTTATTTTATTTATTTATTTATTTTTATATGGTGCTGAGGATCAAACCCAGGGCCTCGTGCATACTAGGTGAGCATTCTACCACTGAGCCACAACCGGAGCTCCCATTTATTGATTCTTGATTTTATTCCTTGCACTATAGGAGCCTTACTAAGGAAGTTGGGGCCTAATCCAACATGATAAATATTTGGGCCTACTTTATTTTCTATTAGGCACAGGGTGAGTCTCTGGTCTAATTCCTAGGTCCTTGATGCACATTGAGTTGAGTTTTGTACATAGTGAGAGGGGCTTAATTTCATTTTGCTGCATATGGATTTCCAGTTTTCCCAGCACCATTTGATGAAGATGCTATCTTTTCTCCAATATATGTTTTTGGTGCCTTTGTCTACTATGAGATAACTGTATTTATGTGGGTTTGTCTCTGTGTCCTCTATTCTAAACCATTGGTCTACAAATCTATTTTGGTGCCAATACCATGCCATTTTTGTTACTATTTCTCTGTATGTAGTTTCAAGTCTGGTATAGTGATATCACCTGCTTCACTCTTCTTGCTTAGGATACTTTGGCTATTTTGGGTCTCTTATTTCTCCACAGAATTTCATGACTGCATTTTCTATTTCTATGAGGAATGTCATTGGGATTTTGGTTAGGACTATATTAAATCTGTATAGCACTTTTGGTGGTACGGTCATTTTGACAATATTAATTCTTCTTATCCAAGAACAAGGGAGATCTTTCCATCTTCTAAGATCTTCTTTAATTTCTTTCTTTAGCATTCTGTAGTTTTCATTGTAAAGGTCTTTCACCTCTTTTGTTGATTCCCAAGTATTTTTTTAAGGCTATTGTAAACAGGATGGTTTTCCTAGTTTCTCTTTCAGAGGATTTCTCACTGATGTACAGAAATGCCTTTGATTTATGGGTGTTGATTTTATATCCTGCTACTTTGCCAAATTCATTTATTAGTTCTAGAAGCTTTCTGGGGAAGTTTTTGGATCCTCCAGGTATAGAATCATGTTGTTGACAAATAGTGATAGTTTGAGTTCTTCTTTTCCTATCAGAATCCCTTTAATTTCTTTCATCTGTCTAATTGCTCTGGCTAGAGTTTCAAGAACTATGTTAAACAGACATGGTGAAAGAGGGCATCTCTGCCTTGTTCCAGTTTTTAGAGGGAATGCTTTCAATTTTTCTCTATTTAGAATGAGTACTGATCTCTATGATATATAAAGGACTCAAAAAGCTTAATGCTAAAAAAAAAAAACCAACCCAATCAGTAAATGGGCCAAGGAACTGAACAGACAATTCTCAGAAGATGATATACAATCAATTAACAAATACATGAAAAAATGTTCAACATCTCTAGCAATTAGACAAATGCAAATCAAAACTACTTAAAGATTTTATCTCACTCTAGTCAGAATGGCAGCTATTAAGAATACAAACAACAAGAGCTGGGGATGTGGCTCAAGCGGTAGCGCGCTCGCCTGGCATGCGTGTAGCCCGGGTTCAGTCCTCAGCACCACATACAAACAAAGATGTTGTGTCCGCCGAAAACTAAAAAAAAATAAATATTAAAATTCTCTCTCTCTCTCTCTCCTCCCTCCCTCCCTCCCTCCTCACACCTACCTACCTCCCTCTCTCTCTCTCTCTCTCTCTTTCTCTCTCTTAAAGAAAAAGAATACAAACAACAATAAGTGTTGGCAAGGATGTGGGGAGAAAGGCACATTCATATATTGCTAGTGGGACTGCAAATTGGTATTACTGATATGAAAAGCAGTATGGAGATTCCTTGAAAAACTTGGAATGGAACCACCATTTGACCTAGCTATCCCACTCCTTGGTTTATACCCAAAGTACTTAAAAACGGCATACTACAGTGACATAGCCACATCAATGTTTATAGCAGCAGAATTCACAATAGGTAAATTGTGGAACCAATCTAGATGCCCTCAGTAGATGAATCGACAGAGAAACTGTGGTATATATATACACAATGGAATATTACTCAGCATTAAAAAAGAATAGAATCATGGCATTTGCAGGTAAAGGGGATAGAGTTGGAGAATATTATGCTAAGTGAAGTAAGCCAATCCCCAAAAAAACAAATGCTGAATGTTTTCTCTGATATGTGGATGCTTATGCATAATGGGAATAGTGGGGGGATTATGGAGGAATGGAGGAACTTTAGATAGGGCAAATGGAGCGGGTAGGGGGGTAGGAAAGATAGTGGAATGAGATAGATATCATTACCCTAAATACATGTATGAAGACACGAATGGTGTGCCTCTACTTTGGGAATGAACAGAAACATGAAAAATTATGCTCTGTATGTGTACTATGAATTGAAATACATTCTGCTGTCATGTATAATAAATTAGAGTAAATAAATGAATTAAAAATATATATAAGCTGGGTTTCAAAGATATAATCTTTTTCTTTAATGTCTATTATTATTTTTCTCTTTTGGTGGGGCATACTGGAGATCAAATCCAGACCCTTGCACATGCTAGATAAGTCCTCTACCATTGAGTATACCTCAATTCCTTTAATCTTTGAGACACGTCTTGCTAAGTTATCTAGGTTGGCTTTGAACTTGCACTCCTCTTGCCTCAGCTTCAAGTATCTGGGAGTACAGGAGTGTACTAATGCACCTGTGTATGATTACTTAAAAATTAATAAAGTTTTACATTTTCCAAGACTGTGAATTTGGGGGCATAAAATATGCTAAAACAAATCCAAAAGTAAAATTTATTCCTTTTGAGTTTAAAGTAACTCAAAGAAGGAATTTAATAAGGAATTTGAATTCTAAGTGTTTTACCATTTTTACTCTTAAAAGTAGTTGCTATTTTTCAAAATGTATCTGTAGAAGACAATTTGTCCAGGTTGTTTGTTAAAAGAATTAGAAAGATCAGTAACAATGCTAATATATTTAGGATTAAAAGTATCCATGATTTACAAATAGTGAAGTCTTCTACCATTTTCCATTTTAAATCCACATCTATTATTTCATCATCTGGCTATATCTGTGAGCTAGATTAAATCATCCCCTATCAGACAAACAAGCCCCAGGTGACAGATGAGAAAGCATACACATAGAGGCTAACTTGCTTGAGTCTCAGAGTTAAGTAGAAGGGAGCTGAAACTAGAAGGCAGGCATCCTGTTCATCAGCTTCCCGTTGGAGCACAAAAGAATCTACAACAATTTTATATTTTTAATTGTGCCAACAACCTCTGAGTACAGAGGTTCATCTCAGACATAGTTCATCCTCAGACATCAAACTCTGACATATACTTAGTTCCCTACTTAGTTCTCAAAGTGGTTTTTCTCTGCCAATTCTCATTTTTGTTCTATTCTCTTCCATTCTGATTTCATATTCAAAATCTTAAGACCTTCCTTTTTTTAAGACTTAAATCTTAGATCTCTTTTTTTCTCCAAATTCTTCTCTTTTAGTTTCTTGTGTAAAGTATCATCTTTTACTCTTCCACTGGAGTTATATCCCCCTCCTAAATATTGACAGATGTTACTGAGCCAGCAGAAACATTAGGTGATACAGCCATCACTGCTCAACTCAAAATGTATTGAGAACTACAGAGTTCAAGATGTTATGCTGGGTGCTGAATCTTTAAAGAAAGTAGATACTTCCCTGCCCTCAAAGAAGAAGAGACATTTTTTTTTATCATTACACATGGTACATGTATTTATTGAAGTATTAAAACACATTCAATATAGTCAACTATTAAGGATACATTAAAACTAAAAATTTTAAAAAATCTCTGCTGAGTTCACCAACACAAAAACATTACATCATTATTCCTTCCCAATTCCAACTCCCATCACCCACCTTAAAAGATCTCCTCCTACATTAGACTTCAAAATGGAAAATGAGACTAAGTATCTGATAGGATTTTCCAGCTCTGTTGAGGTACTCTGCTCCCTTACAGCATTATATGAAAATGCCAGCTTTTTCTTAAGCACAGATGATTTGCCTTATATTTGGAGATGATAATAATCTATATATGGTAAGCATAGTAATTATCACTATATGTCATGTGACAGTAACCTTAGCCTAGTTTTTAGGACTAATATCTAAGGATATTTCTGAACTCTGGCTTAATGATAGCAGAAATAGGGAAATTAGTTACAAGTCAGAGTTTGTTTAATTTTATTTAAATATTTATTTTTTAGTTTTTAGGTGGATACAATATCTTTATTTTATTTTTATGAGGTGCTGAGGATCGAACCCAGTGCCTCATACATGTTAGGCAAGTGCTCTACCACTGAGCCACAACCTCAGCCCCCCAGCGTTTGTTTAATTAACTAATTAATTAGTTAAGAGGAGACACTTAATTATCCAAACTACTGTGATCCTTGAAAATATTATTCATGAATGACAATAAGGAAACCTATGGGCTCAAAATTAAACAAGCTTAAAAAAACAAGGCAATGGAGCTTGTGAGTGATTTTAGGAAGTGATATTTGAGCTGGGTTTTGTATAAGGAATAAGTTCTTGACAGAGTGAGGTGCATGCTTGAGCAGGGATCACAGATGGAGGGAATATCATGGGGATAGGTAGAGAGGTGTTAAAGCAAACAATACTGGGATCAGTGAAATGAAAGGTCCCCGATTTAAGACTGCAAGAGGCAAACATGGCTGAGACCAGACGGGTCATGCCTTGATGAGTTCTTACTCCAGGGAATATCAAGAAGACTTTTGTGTCAGATTAGTGACATGGTTAGGCCTATTTTCAGAAAAGTAACTAACTGGAATATGAATTTGTGAAAAGAAAGATCAGTGATGGATGCTGCTCTTTCCTATATCTGTCAGGTGAAAAGATCAAGATGTCTTGAGGACAACTTAAGTGTCAGTAGAAAATTGGTTAAATGAATCATGGAACATTAGTACAACAGAAAACAGATATTAAAATCAATATGCATGTCTACATTCTTTGAAATATACTTAATATAAAAAGACATGCAATTTTTCTAAACTTTGGAGAAATATGTTCCCAAATTTAGAGAAATTATGGTTGATTCTAATTTTCTTGATTATTTTTTGCAGTTTTTGAGAAAAAAAGAATCTCAAGTTACAATACTATGTACATGTTAAGGAAATATTTATTTAATCACATGTCATTAAAAACAAACATGCTACTATTTTTATAAAATCATTTAGAAAACTACATCCTGAAAATATTAACTTAATGATTTAATTAATTATAACTTGTAACATTGAGGGAGGAAGAAAGGGGAACAAAAATTTAGGTGACAGATTTATTAAAGACAACAGTCAATTATTTGAGCCTCAATGTATTGTCATTTAGATAATCATGACAACAAACATCATAATGGGAAAATTAGTAATTCAACATTTTATCTGATTTAAATGGTGTTCTTTGTGCCACTTTAAAAATATAGGAGTATAAATATATGATATTATAGCTATATTTAACATATATGCAAAACAACTGAAATCAAGTATTGCAGGTTACATTTGTTGTGCCCTTGAATCCACTATTAAACAAAGTAAAGCACTGGAAAAGGACTTTAATAAGACAGTTTGTTTTAAAACTGTATAAATAGTAACTAACATCTGTTGAATATTTACCATGGGCCAAGCATTGTCCATAAAGCACTATATACATCTTAACTGTTCCTCACAATAACTCTCTATATTTTATAATATATAATATAATAATCTATATTTTACACATATGGAAACTTAAGAGTAGAGAGGGTACCATAGAGCCAGTGAGGATTTAAGCAAGGATTTAGAACCAGGCAGTCTGACTCTTTAGAATCCATTTACTTTGTAACAAGTTTGACTTCAACCGACTTCAGCCACACAGGTAAGCTTTGGGCAGTGGACTAGAAAAGCTGTATGCATAATGAATGAATAAAACAAAGCAACCCAATCAATCTTCAGCCCACAAAACATGGCATCCTTTGCCACCCCAAACTGGAAAATTGTGTTCTACTGTATGCTGTCTTTAATTGGTCTAGATTTTATCCTAAATAACCTGATTATAAAATATACTTACAAATGTTTCTAGTGATGCGTTTGTTATTATTTGAACTATGTCCTGCACATGGGTATTAGCAAGTGGAATGCTCTCAATTGTGCCTTCTTTGTGTCTGGCAAGTAGCAGGGCTGGAGGAGTTGCAGCATATTTATTTGACCTATAGAGAAATGTAGTATTAAAATTCACAATCAAAATACAGGAGGTCATCAAAGACATGAAAAAATAGGCCAGCAAGTCACAGCAGGAAGCAGAAAGTGAAAAGCCCTGGCTCCAAGGAAAAAATTAACTCAATTCCCAAACTCATTTTCTATGTGAAACTATCTGTTCAGGATCCTTGACAAACTCAATTAATAGAAAGCAACAGATAATAATCTAGATAGATTTTCTTTCGCCCCCACACAACTTACTCATCAAGAAAATTACTACATAGGATTTAGAATGCACTGAAAGGCTTGTGGCCCCTTTGGAATGCTTACCACACTACTAAGGAGATGGGTACCTATGAGAAACCTACTATTTGCCAGGCAATGTACTAGCTTAGTTAGGTTTTCATTTAATCCTCAGAATATCCCCCAGAAAGTAACCCATAACACTCCATTTTAGAGGGGGGAAAAAAACGAATTCACAGAGTGATAAATAGTAGACAGTGAATTAAAATGAGGAACTCAAATGGAGTGCGTGTTCTCTCCACTGACACAATAGCCCAAACCCACCCTCCCACTATTTTCGCTAACAACACCTAAAAAGAAGTTTTGTGAATAGGTAAAAAGCTTAATGGGAAATTATTAATAAGGTAGAAACACACATAAAAACTAAACTCATGCCAGAACCAAGAAGAGACAATATAATATTATTGAGGTTATCGAGCCCAGTCTTCAGATCACTTAGAGGAACCTTAGTTTACCAGCTAATTATAAACAAAACACTCTGTAAATCACCAGTCTAATTCTATGGACTATAATTAAATGCATATTGGCAATAAATAATAGCAATTGATATACATTATCAGATGGATAGGTCTCATATTTTCCTAGTTCAGTATATATAAAAAATTATTGATTTCACAGAACTAACAAAAGCATCATCAAGAGCAATGTTTAAGATGAATGTTTTAAGCTCAGAAATCACAATTAGGAATATTATAGTCAGAAGGTAAGAAAGACAAATGGCTGGGGTTTATAAACTAGTTTATTTGTACCCCAAAATGAACCATTAACGTAGAATGTCATTGTATTAAAAACAGTCTCCAAACTTGCAATCTAGTCCTTCTTTCTACAACAACTGTGTTAGCCTTTTGTCACTGTGACCAAAATAAAGTTTACTTTAATTCATGGTTTCAGAGGTTCAGTCTATGGTCAGCCAACTCTGTTGCTCCTGGCCCAAATGAGACATCGTGGAGGGCATAGCAGAGGAGTACTACTCGGCTTACGATAGCCAGGAAACACAGATAAGGGGAAAGGGACCTCAGGGAAGATAAATAGTTCCAGGGTATGCCTCCAATGACCAATCTCCTCCAGCCATATCACATCTGCCTGCAGTTACCACCCATTCAAGCTGTATTGACTGGTTAGGTTTCAGCTCTCATAATCCAATCATTTATCTGAATATTCCTGCATTAACAGACATCTTTGGGGGATATCTCATATGCAAACCATAAAAGCAACTACAATATTTTGGTAATCATAGGAACCTCATCTTCCAGACAAAGCAACTAAAGTAACTAAAAAGTGATTTTTTAAAACATATACTTCAGTAGCAAAACAAACAAACAAACAAAACCCTCAAATGCTAGAGAAGTAAAATTCTCAAAAACTATGACACCTCCAAAGAATCCAAACTGCATTCAAACCCAAAGAGGAAATGAGTATGAAGTATGAATCTAAGATTACCCCTGTGGGTGCTATGGTATGGATACACACACACACACACACACACACACACACACACACACACACAAATATATATATCTATATAAACATTTAAATCTTAATAGCCTGGTATTTCCTAGAAGGGAAATTATAAATTTACTTATGTTTCTGAACTATCTCCCTAGATCAGCAGTGAAAGACAAGCAATAAACCATTGCATAGCTTCTTCTTCCCTAAAATTAGAAGAGCAATAAACTTACAGTATCCAAACATCTTCTTCAGAATAAATTCCAGTGATGACACATCCTTTTAGGTAATTTCCTGCTTCAGTAAAATCTTCTTTGGCTATAAATACATATGGCAAAACTCTGAAACCTTTAATATTATGTATTATGTTCAGCAGATAAATAGATTTATAAGTGATAGTACTTTTTTATTTAATGTCAAAGATAAATATTTAAGACACCTTAGATAACTCTTAGTAACTAACTCTAAAATAAATCTGAATGCTTCTAAAATACATCCATTTTTATGACATGGATTATTAAAGAAATGTACACTGATATAATACAACTATGGTTTCCTAAACAAATGTACTCCAAATGTGATTTGCAAGATTTACAGTACTCTAACCATACAGAGTGACTGAACAAATATCTGTTGTTTTTTATTCATAGACAGGGTACTGGGAACAGCTACAGCCTGGAAGCAGGAATGTGAAATGATACATTTCACAAGGTGTCTACATGCATTAAAAAAAAAAAAGAAGACTAAACATCCTAATTCTCTAAGTATGTGTGTGTTAGAATTGTGTAATTCTAAGGGACTTTTGTCCTTTTATTTTCAACATTTTCTATAATGTATTTTTGTTAGTTCTGAATTTTTGACTAATTTGTGTATTGCTGTTTTTTATTTGTTAGGATATATATATTCAGAACTAAAAGTATTATTTCTGTAGATTTTTAGTTCATTTTCATAAATACCAACATATTCTGAATCCCAATAATGACTATTTTATAACCAAAAAACAAGTTTCAATTAAATCACTGTAGACTAATGAGAAAAGAGCAGAGGTGACTTATGGGTAAATGAAGTATTCTTGCCATGTGAAAAGTCAAATGATAGCTCAGCACCATGTACCAAAGGTTCACAGCAGCTCAAATAGCCAAATGCTGATGGAAGGAGTAATCCATACAATTACCTTGAGGACCAGGCATACTGAACCACTGATCCATACCTTCCCAGTCAGCAGCAAATTCACAATATAAGCACTGTCAACATTGGATCACCACAGGGCTTTTTCTTTTAAAAGTGTGATTACTTTCCACAAGATTAAGTAACATGGTCTGCAGAAAATCAACTTTACTAGAACGGTTAATCAGCCTATAGGCAGCATCTGGAGCTCATTTATAATCATAAATTTAATGAGAAACTAGTAACCTATTCAAATATTTTTAAGCCTGTGCTACAGCAAAGTAGAAAAGACTCATAAGAAAATAAGCAACTAAAAAAGGACTGAATGCCCATACTTTCGTTTTAATTTGTTAAAAGTGTTTTCATGAGGGCTGGGGATATAGCTCAGTTGGTAGAGTGCTTGCCTTGCATACACAAAGCCATGGGTTCAATATCCAACACCATAATCCATACTATGTCATTCTGGCACACCAGAACCATATTTGTATGATTTAATATTGTGCTTTTGATTATTGTTGAAAGATAACTACATATGAACTTTATCATCATTTGAGTAGAAATGATCAAGTACATTGTTTCTTATATTGATCCCCTATTTAAAAAACAATATGAAAAATTCTTCCCAGTATTTACAATCAGGAAAACATTTTCTCTGTGGATGAATCAGCATCCTAACTTGTATGTTATAATTTATTATATAAAGAGAATATGGTAAAAATGTCATCTTTTTGTTTCTAGTTGTTACAGATAGCTCAGGGCTATATTATAATCATCAATGTTTTCTGGAATTTTCACATAATTATCCTTTAGTGTTTTATTGCATAACTCTTACCTTTGTTTTAATGATTTATTGTTATTTGTGTTATTTTTATTGTCTAAAAATTCAAATTATTTTTGGAAGGAGGTCTAGTGTAAATAATGAATAAAACTTTGGGGCACTAGGTCTAAAATACATAGAAGACAGAGTCAACTGTAGAAACAAATATATAAAAAGGGGAAGAAAGAGTAAAACACAATCTAAAAAGATTTAGATTGAAAGTATACACATTAAGATGCTAGGTATTCTAGGATTTTGCCTTTTAAGATGGCAAGTCACAGAGCACATAATAATATGTTTGTAATTTCATTTAGTGTATGTTCCTTTAACTCATTTTTAAAGATTTTGAAAAAAGAAAAAAGTTACAATATATAAATTTGGAGAAAGCAAAATTTAATAAGCAGTTCGCAGCACCTGATCTGTACAAATGTACTGCAAGATAGGGGATCTTCTTCCCATACATATATTCTTAAAAGATTTCATTTAGAATTTGAAATTCATTTCAAAGGCAATAAAAATAAAAATGAGGGAAGTCTGCTGGATAAATAGAGAGTGATTATAGTTAAGAAAATATTAAGGCTAAAAATATGCAATAGCAAAAATAACATTCTGGAAAATACTACTGATCAGAAAAAATACCTTGTGTGTACACTTCCTTTAAAACATACTGAAAGACACTCCTATGAAACAAGAGATAAAGAGTTTAAGGATAGGTAAATTGTGATATTAAAAAGTAAGGCAGTTTACAATGCCATGGAAAACTATTAAAGTAAAAGTAATTGCTATATGTATTGTGTAAAAGTTGAATGCAAAACTATTAATTTTAAATTCAAATAAAAATAAGTTGAATTAATAGATGCATATAGGTGCAGGTATGTACATAAAATGGATTAACAGCTGGACCGATGTATAGGTATGTACAACACTGGCAGATATAGGTGTAGGTTTTCACGTAAATCTTTCAACTCTGCAGTAAGTTTGAAAATTTTCATCTTAAAATGTTGAAAAAGTAAATGCAAAAGATTTTGGAAAGTCAAATGTTTAATGAAAAAAATGCATCAATAATGATAATCTGAACCCATAACATGGGGCTCTATACAAAGACTACAAAAGAAATTAAAAACATCTTCATCTTCCTCAAGAGGGAGTTGAAATCATCGAAATGATTGAATGAAGATGTTCTTCAATGAACTACATAACTCTAAAGAAAGAAATTGAAGAGACCCTAGAAGATGGACAAAAACTGGATAGGCAGAATTAAATTGAAATGATAAGTTCATTTTTTAAGAACATTTTCTCTAGCCCTGTAGAAGATACAAACAAAAGAGGCATACTCTATAGAGGAAGAAAGAAAGAAAAACTAAAATACCAGTGAAGCATAAAACAATCAGCAGACATCAAATGAGTTAAGATAATAAATATAAGAAACTAATAATGTTCACACAGAAGAGATGAAAGGCAAAATAGATAAGAAAATGTAAAAAAGAAAAATAAGAGACTTGACCAATCATATATTCAACTATATTGAAAAGCTAATTGAATAAATCAATTATGTTTCTACACATCAGTGATGAATCAACTAAAAGAGAAATTAGGAAACTATCCCATTCACAAGAGTCTCAAAAATATATAATATTTGAGAATCAATCTAAGAGGTGAACAACCTCTATAGTGAAAACTACAGAACTCAAAGAAATTGAAGAGATCCTAGATGATGGACAAAATCTCCTATGTTCTTGGATAGGCAGAATTAATATTGTCAAAATGGCTATACTACCAAAAGTGCTATACAGATTAATGCTATTTCTATTAAAGTTCTGATGGCATTCTTCATAGAAGTAGAAAAGGCAGTCAAGAAACTCATTTGGAAAAATAGAGGCCCAAAATAGCCAAAGCAATCCTCAGTGGGAAAAGTGGAGTAGGATGCATCACAATACCAGACTACATATACTGCATATACTACAGAGCTGTAGTAACAAAAACAGCATGGTATTGGTACAAAAACAGACATGAAGACCAATGGTACAGAATATAAGACAAAGACAAGCCCACATAAATACAATGATCTCATTCTAGACAAAGGGGCCATAAACATACATTGAAGAAAAGATAGCCTCTTCAACAAATGGTGTTGGGAAAATTGGAAATCCATATGCCACAAAATTAAAGCAGACCCCTATCTCTCACCCTGCACAAACCTCAGTTCAAAGTAGATCAAGAACCTAGGAACTGAATCAAAGACCCTGCACCTACCAGAAGAAAAAGTGGGCCCAACTCTCCACCATGTCAGCTTTAGAAACCAAATTCCTCAACAAGACTCCTAAAGTGCAAGAAGTAAAATCAAGAATCAATAAATAGGATTGTAGCAAATTAAAAAGCTTCTTCACAACAAAGAAAACAATCAAGAATGTGAAGAGAGAGCCTACAGCATGGGAAAAAATCTTTGCCACTTGTACCTCAGATACAGCATTAATCTCCAGAATATATAAAGAACTCAAAAACCAAAACAAACAAACAAACCAAATAGTCCAATCAATAAATGGGCAAAGAAACTGAACAGACACTTCACAGAAGAAATAAGATCGGTCAACAAATATATGAAAAAGTGTTCAACATCATTAGCAATTAGAGAAGTATAAATTAAAACTACAATGAGATTTCATATCACTCCAGTCAGAATGGCAATTATTAAGAATATAAATAGTAACAAGTGTTGGCAAGGATATGGGGAAAAAGGTGCACTTATACATTTCTGGTGAGACTGCAAACAGGTGCAACCCCTCCTGAAAATAGTATGGAGATTCCTTAGAAAACCTGGAAGAGAACCACCATTTGACCCAGTTACCCAACTCCCCAGCATATACGCAAAGGGCTTAAAATCAGCATACTAGGGGCTGGGGTTGTGTAGAGTGCTTGCCTCACCTATGTAGAGCAATGGGTTCAATTCTCAGCACCACATAAATAAATAAAATAAAGGTATTATGTTCATATACAATGAAAAAAATTTTTAAATCAGCATACAATAGTGACATGGCCAATCAATGTTCATAGCAGCTGAATCCACAATGGAATAAACCTAGGTGCTCTTCATGCTAAGTGAAACAAGCCAATCCCCAAAAATCAAAGGCCAAATGCTCTTTCTGATGTTGACTCACAATAGGTTGGCTGGTAGGGAGGAGTGGAGGTTCATCAGATTGGTCAGGGAGAATCAGGGGAAGAGAGGGAGGATGGGAAAGGGAAAGACAGTAGGATGAATCAGATATAACTTTCCTGTGTTCATATATGAATACACGACCAGTGTATCTCCACATTATATACAAGCATAAGAATCGGAAGTTATACTTCATGTATGTATGATATGTTAAAATGTGTCATGTATTTAAAAAAATTTTTTTAAAAGGTCAAGAACTGAGAGGCTCAGATTTTGGAAAGATCATCTATGTGGATACCAAATCACCAAGGATTATGATAGTAGTAATACTGAAGAGCATGACAGTATGACAGAAGCTCAATTCCTCATGAATGAGGGGGAGTGATTCTGGCTGGGTGATAGATGATGCTTACAAGGTAGCGAGTGGGGTCAGTGGAATAATCTGATGCAAGTACTAGGAGATTAAGTGTGAAAGGAGAATATAACTGCTTGGGAATGATAATGAGGAGAAATGGAAAAACAATATACAAAAAGGGGGGAATCATCAAGGAAATGCTTCAAGAAAATTTCCCAGAACTGAATTGAGCTTTTAAATTGGAAGGGCTTTTGAGTCTCAGCACAAGGGATGCCTACAGAGCCACATCAATGTATACAGTTAAATTCATAATAGCTAAGCTATGGAACCATCCTAGGTGCCTCTAAATGGATAAGTGGATAAAGAAAATGTACAAATACACAATGGAATATTACTCATCCTTAAAGAAGAATGAAATTGTGGCATTTGCCAGTAAATGGGTACAAATAGAGACCATTTTGCTAAGTGAAATAAGCCAATCCTAAAAAACTAAAGGCCAAATGTTCTCTCTGATATGCAGATGCTGAATCACAACAGGTGGGTAGGAAAGGGAGAAGTGGAAGTTCATCCAATTGGAAGAGGGGAAATGAGGAGAAAGGAGGGGCACAGGAATGAGAAAGACAGTAGAATGAATCAGACGTAACTTTTCTATGTTCATATATGAATACACAATCAGTGTAACTCAACATCATGTATAACCACAAAAATGAGAAGTTACACTCCATGTATATGATATATATCAAAATACATTCTACTATCATGTGTAACTAAAAAGAATAAATAAAAAAGTTTAAAAAACTAATTGAAGTATCAATAGATAAAGTGAATGAAATAGAAAGCATTTAAAGACATACATACACATGCAGAGATATGGATTTAACATGGGGATGGTGAAATCACATGTGAGCAGAGGGAAAAAAAGAGTAACTGTTAGTTACTTAGAAAGTGTTAAGTTGGTATCTGGCCTCATATCAGATATCAAGATATCTTAATGGTTAAAATACTTTTAAAGAGAAAAAAATCAAAGGATACAATCAGAGTAAAAAGGTAATATAATTTGCATATAATGGCATATTAATCAGTCTTAAAATGGAAGGAAATTCTGATATATCCTATAGCAAGCATAACCTTTGAATATATCATGCTAAATCAAGTAAACCAGTCAGAAAAAGAAATACGTGATTCCCCTTGTAGTCAGATGCATATAAAACTGAAAATAGAATGGTAGTGATAAAGGCAGGGGAGAGATGGGGTGGAGGAGTTTGATGAATATAGTGTTTTAGTTCTGCAAAATGCAAAGGTACTGGAGGTTGGTTGTACAACAGTGTGAATATATGTAATATTAGAGAACTATACACTTAAAAACAGTTAAGATGATAAATTTTATGTTATGTATATTTTACTACAACTTTTAAAAAAAGAAAAATATTCATAACAAGGAGACAATATAAATTAATTTAAGACAATGTCATAGTTAAAGCAATAAATTACAGGTGAATATTAACTGATACAATAAGATTTGGGGGGGGATTGAAACCAGAGGCACACTACCACTGAGCTACATTCTCGGCCCTTTATTGTTCAATTTTTATTTTGAGATGGTCTCGCTAAATTGTTGAGCCTGGTTTTGAACCTGGATCCTCCTGCCTCAGCCTCCTGAACTGCTAGGATTACAGGCATGTGCCACTATACCCAGCATAAGAATTTTTTTATATCTAAAAGCAATAAAATATATATCAAAATCAATAGATTTGAGTGCAAATTTTAAACTACTACATACAAAACTATTATTAAATAAAGTTTAAAAGCAAACAATAAACTGGGGGAAAATAATTTTTAAAAAATGAAAAAAGCTAATCTACTAAATCTATGAAGATCTTGTGCTAATTCATTAGACAAGCACTAAAACCCCATTTCTAAAATGTAGTATATATAACACACAATTTACAATACATGTTTAACTGTACATTATTTAATTTAAATCTCAACTCTACTTACCTGTTGTCATGGTTGGACTAAATAGTCCCAGTACTGACACACTAGAATAGGTGAGCAAGTCTTTATATAATTCTCCACTTAAATATTTTTCTGCTTCCTGGAACAGTGTTATGTTCACTGGATATGAAATCCTGTTGCTGGATAAATACATAACTATTTTCAAAATCAATTTTTAAAGATATCTTTCAGTTTGTTAAAAAACATTGAACTTAGCAAACAACATATTACACATGATAAACTTGACAAAAAAGAGACAACTAAATACTATTTATTTATTTTATGGGACTGGCATACCAACCCCAGGATCCTTCACATATGAAGCAAGTGTTCTACCAGTGAGTTACACCCCCAGAGCTCTTCTTTCAAATTTTTGAAACAAAAGTCTTACTAAATTTTCCAGGTTGACCTCAAACTTGCAATCCTCTGCCTCAGCCCTCCATGCCTCATAAATATTATTCTTTTAAAAAAAAATCAGTTTCAATAAACAAAATAACCATCTCCCTAAAATAATGGAATGTGCAATGACAGTCCTTATCAATATTTACTCTGTGATTTGTCAAGGAATGCATCTTTAATAAAGGATGTCATCCTTAACAAAGGATGTCAACAAACTATGAGAATTAGAACTTCTACAGACTCCCAGAATTTAAAATCGTACAGTGAACCTGAATACTTACAGTTGTATAAACTTCAGGAGACCTTCAGTTCCCAGCATACCAACATATGATACTGGGTTCTCGCCTTTCTTGTACATCTTTACAATGGGAAATTCAGTGACATTTTGCTTAGTACATACATCAGACCAATCTGCACAGTTTATTCTAGTAAGAAGCATAGTGGATGTGTCTAAATTAAAGGAAAATGCACATTTTGTAGATATTAATGCAGAATATCTTCTGCTAGAATCTTCATTCTCTTCCTAGCCCAACAATTTTAACCTCTCAGTGTGGAACACTTCTGCTGAAACACTCTTCCTTTGATTTTTGTGACAATTTCCCTATCAGCTTCTTTCCTACCTCTCTTGCTTTTCCTTTTTGGTACTGCTTGAAGGTATCCCACTCGCCTGGCATGTGTGCGGCCCGGGTTCGATCCTAGTGGAATTGGAAGTTCCTCAAGGCTCCGTTTAAACTGCTTTCTCTTCTTGTTCTACACTCTGTTCCTAGACAATCTCAATAACCATCAAAAATCTAATGAATACAAAATATGTATCCTTGGCCCAGATTCTTCCTTGAAGTTTCAGGACCATGAAACCTTACTACCTTCTTCCCTGAGGATGAAAACATCTTCAAACTCTACATATCTATGTCTAAAACCAAATATAGTTTTCTTTCCCGTGTTACTTGGTGAAAATTGTGCAATTCATAGAACAAAGCATCATCCTACATGCCTCCCCATTCCCAAGCCCCTCCATGTCTCATCAATCAGTACACATTTTCAATTTTACCATTTTAAGTTTAAATATTTCTAATTGTTGTCCATTTCTCTATACTGTCAATACTCTAGTCATCATTTCTCCTAGATAACTACAACAGGCTTCTAACTCACTTCCCTGGATTCAATGGCTCTACAATAATCGTAGATATTATCTTTTCAAAACTCAAGTCTGTTCTGGTGCTAGCCTGCTCCCCACCAACCCTGTTTTGGTAGCAAATCCCCTCCTTGCCCCCACCACCAACCTTTGCAGAGTTAGGTCTTTTTCATTATTTGTGATTACTTGTGAAACATCCTGATTTATATCAGGTTCCTCTGATATATGCTCCTTTATCTCCTTATGAATTAGGTATTCCTTTTTTTAGTTATTTGATTAATGTCTGCCCCTACCAAGAGAGCTGCTTGATAGTAGTGACCACTGACTTCCAGCATCTACAGTAGTCCTTGTACATGAATCACCTTTAATAAACCTGTGAGTAAATGATACATGCGAAACTCATCTAGGGTTGCAGGCATGCCCATCTAAATATTATAATTTCAGCTGAAAATCACATATTGTAATCCAAAGCAGAAATTCCTATTTGTTCTATTATACAACATGTAAAGTTCTTTGAAATACATAAATTTCTGGGTGAAAAGAGATCAAAAATCAAAACAAGCACCACACAATTCAGATTTTGAAAGAAAAAAATTCTAATAAAAATAAACTTTAATATCATATGAAATAAGAAGTCTCTGTATATTAATTTAGGATACAGCCGAACCAAATGATTCAATTTGTGGGATACAATATTTTAAAAAATATTTTATCATCCCAAATTTTTAATAATGAAAATTCATCTTTATATTTTCAGAGATTTTTATTATAGTTCATAAAGGCAATGAGTTATCTATCACTTAGAATTTAGTATTAAAATTCTGATAAAACAAGCAGTGTCTAGTTCACTGTTACGTTTCCAGTGTTTATCACAAGGTATGTTATACAGTAGGTACTCAGTCTACAAATATGTATGGATGGGGCTGGGGATGTGGCTCAAGCAGTATCGCGCTTGCCTGGCATGTGTGCGGCCCGGGTTCGATCCTCAGCACCACATACAAACAAAGATGTTGTGTCTGCCAAAAACTAAAAAATAAATATTAAAATTCTCTCTCTCTCTCTCTCTCTCTCTCCCTCTCTCTCAAAAAAAAATGTATGGATGGTCACTGATATTCCTTCAAGAACAAATTTTAAACTTTTGAAAATATATTAATACCTAAACAATATATGATCATATAAACAAAAATAAGTTTTTATCCCTTCAAAAACCAAACCTGATAAATCTTCTACAAAGTTCTCCTATTAATCATGTCCTCAACAAGTATCAAGTGATGCTTGTTCACATAGAGCGCCATCTTATATTGCCACCCAAGTACACAATATAGATGTTCTTTCCATTCAGTAAGCATCCTCAACACATCTACTTCTGCTAAACATATTACTTTGTCCCTACAAAGTTGAAACTTTAATATTATCTTTAAAACTGGAAAAAGAGCACATGATACATGTTATTAAAAGTTATAAGCCTGCTTATCCTGAAGTTATTATAAAATTTTTATTTTCTATAAAATGGTTTCAGTGTTTACTCATATTTCAATCTGAATTGTGTAATATTCTGATATAGCTACAGTATTGTATTCCTCTTTATCAATGCATTAATTTCAAATAGAATTACTACTTTGAAGCAGAAAAAATAGATTGTCTTTGATACAGATACTCTGTCAAGCATCAAAATTTGACATTTGCTGCCACCTTGTGTCTGAGTAAAAAATATTCTTAGACGAAAATGAAAAATGACATTTTTCCCAGGAAATCAACCTAAAAGACAAATTAATAGGACTAATGTCAAAGTACTAAGATTATCCTAATTGCAGTTATAAAACAGGATGAACATCTTTAATCTAAATGTCTGAAATACAAAATCTGAATATTTCTGAACGCCAACATGAACTCCAAAAGTAAAAAATTCCATATCTAACCTCATGTAACAGAAATCAGTCAAAACTTAAGTGTATTAAAAATACTATATAGGGGCTGGGGATGTGGCTCAAGCGGTAGCGCGCTCGCCTGGCATGTGTGCGGCCCGGGTTCGATCCTCAGCACCACATACCAACAAAGATGTTGTGTCCGCCGAGAACTAAAAGATAAATATTAAAAAAAAATTCTCTCTCTCTCTCTCTCCTCTCTCTTAAAAAAATACTATATAAAATTTCTTTCAGCCTATATGTGTAGAATGCACATGAAACAAACGAATTTCATGTTTAGACTTGGGTCCTATCCCCAATGTATCTCATTATATGCAAATATTCCAAACTCTAAAAAAGTCCAAAATACAAGACATAATAGTTACCTATACTATGCATTTCTACAATAAGCCCCAGAACTTCCAAAATAGTCCGTTTATGTGACATCAATTTATTAATAGGATTGTTATTCATCAAGAACATTCTGAATGAAAAAGAAAGCAAGTCCTGGATTGGTCATCTGCCTTTTTATTCTGTCAACACATACAAGTCAAAACTAAATGGTAGCCAGGTGTGGTGGCACATGCCTGTAATCCCAGCAGCTAGGGAGGCTGAAGCAAATAGATTGCAAATTCAAAGCCAGCTTCAGCAATGGTGAGGCACCAAGCAACTCAGTAAGACCCTGTCTCAAAATAAAGTACATAAAAGGGCTGGGATGTGATTAAGTGGTTGAATGCCCCTGAGTTCAATCCCTGGTACCCGCCCCCCATCCCCCCCCAAAAAAGATAAATGGTAAATAACATTCTCAGAGGAGCCAAGAATAAGACTATTTAACTATGATAGTTTCTATTTACAAGCTAAACAGTAGGAAGCAACCATACCATGGACACAAAATATGTTGCCATCTGTCATATTAAATGATTACAAAATATTATACACATCTTATCCATTGCTACCCCTTTACTAAAAGGTCTCACCACTTCTCCCCATGCCTTTGATGTAATGATGGCCTAGACATTTTGAGTCAAAGTCCAATCCTTATTCTCTTATTTAACTACCACTGGATTAGGTTTAATAGAATAGTTAAGACAAAAAGATTCTAACTATTAAAAAATATCCTAGGGGCTGGGAATGTGGCTCGGGCGGTAGCGCGTTCGTCTGGCATGCGTGTGGCCTGGGTTTGATCCTCAGCACCACATACCAACAAAAATGTTGTGTCC